CCATAAATTAATACATTTTTGTAATCTTATTCGGTTTGTTCAAATAGTTTTGTCGAAAGAAAAGGAAGATAATATCATTAAATTCTCATGTTATTGGGATAATTAATTAATTAATTTTATACACAAAATGAGATTAGATGAAATTGATATTTATACAAATACAGAAAATGTATACAAGTTTATAAGAAATGAATTTTAAATAAAATTAAACAAATATTGACAATACTTTTCCTATTTGAAATTATTGGAAAAAAAAAGAAAAAAAAGAACAAATATAATAATTTGACTAAAGTTGAAAAGCAACTTCAAAGAAATCTCAGTGTTGGAGTGAATTTTCTCAACGTTCTTAAGTCTCCTCGTCATCGTCGTTGAGTAAAAGTGAAAATAGAAAGGTCCTTAGGGAGTTTGAAATGAAAGAACGAGCGAGAGAAAGAGAAAGAGAGAAAGAGAGAGAGAGAGAGAGAGAGAGAGAAAAAGGAGAAAAAAGAAAAAGGAAAGATCGTCTTCCACACCGACGACATGAAATATGAAGACGACGCCGTTTCTCTAAGCGTTGGCTCGACGCCACAAAAGGAAGCGTCACGGCAAATTAATCGGTCGACTACGAGCACGCGAGATGTGTGATTTAATAAAAAGCTTCCCCTTTTACTCGTACGCGCGATCGGGGGTGGAAAGGAAGGATGGAAAGTGAGGAATGAAAGAGTGGGCAATGCCATCTCTTACCCACCCCCTATCTTGTGTAATAAGTTTAGTTCCAACGACGAAAAAGCCATAAAACGCGACATGTAAGCTCAGCGTGATATCTCGTATGACGATTCTCAAATTTCACGAATCGGCGTCAGACAAGACAAAGAAAAACCCATTGCAGCAACAAAAAAATACTCAAAACAGTGTCGTCTACAAGTATCAAATTGATCAAAATTTATTTGTTCATTTTGTAATACTTTCAATTAACCAGAGTTAACTGGGTTTTACGTATTAAGTAGAATATATTACATAAACTATCTAGATCTATCTTAGTGAAGTCTAACTGTAGATGTTTTCTACGTTTAAACGATTGTTCCTCAAACAAGCGTGCTATAATGTGATACGACAAGGGTAGTTTCGAGGTTTCGACGGAAGTAAAAATGTGGGGTGAGAGGGGGGGGGAGAGGGAGGGTGATTTCGGTGTAAGAGTACCAGGACTCCTGCAAGGGACGGCTAATTCCACTGTGATCACATCTGATCGATGTCCCGTAACTACATAGGCTGAAAAAGTATTGTCCCTTTCTTACTTCGAAACCAATCTTCTCGATAACAACTATTTCTTTAACGTCATGTAATACGTTATTTTAATTGCTTTAAAAATTCATACATTTATTTTAATCATATTATTTTCTTTAAATATATATATATTATTTAAAATAGACAAATATATAAATAATTTATTTCAAAAGGTATAAGAGATATAGATAAATGGTTCAATTTTGAAATCGAACGATCTTAAACCGAACGTACATGCAAGTGACAAAATATTTCCAATGAACATAAGGTTTTCTGGACCCCCAGCCAGCATGATTCTTTTATTTTAGTTTTAGTCGAGGACCCACGCAATTTGACCCTCCGTTCCGTGGCCTCGAGTTTCGTCCATACGTCTATTTTCACTCGTTTCGAAGGACGAGGAAAATATTGAAAGAGTAAGAAAAAGAAAGAAAGAAAGAAAGAAAGATATATATATATATTATCGTGGAGGGGGTGATAAGAAGAAGGCCACATATGGTCTGTTCACCCTTAGCTAAAGAAACGAGGGAAAAACTTTGGATTCGCGTCAAAGGGATGTCCGTGTATGTACAAGTCGATCTTGAAGCCACAAATTTCATGGGACTCTTCCCTCTTTTATCTTATCTCTTTTACCAATAGATAAAAGTAAACAGATAAAAGAGAATCACACACACACACACATACTGCTATCAAATGTGCACGATCTGACCATTCTTTAATTAAGTCTCCATCTTCCTTTATCGTCTTGTTTTTTCCCCTTCCCCTCTCTTAAATGGGACATTTCGCGTTACCGATAAGATGGGAATATCTTAATGTCCTTTTTTTTTCTTCATTAATGTAAGTGAGAAAGATTAATCGTTAGTTTTTCAATGTTACATCATATTTATTTACTGCAACATCATTTTTTGGTCAAACAAACTTATTCCATATTCAAGGAATTCTTACGTTTTCGCGAATTTCTGGAACTTTTTAACATTCGGTACTCGTTCGCATATAATATTCTTTCAAGGGAGATCCTACTGTGATTTCGGACGACGCAATGCTTTGTCAAGGAAAAGAAAAAAAAAAGGAAAGAAATGGAGAAAAACAGCTCCTCTTTGGGTAAGAAAAAAAAAAGAAAAAAAGAGAGAGAAAAGAAAAAGGAGCAAGGATCTCCTTTCTCTGATTCATTCTCATGGACGAACGTTCTAACTTGGTATAATGATAAATTATTCGGATTATGAAATATACGTTGGAACCCTAAAGGATGTTATAGAGATGCTGGAAGATTGAAGATTCATCTCAATCATGTGATATCACTCATTGTCAGACGAATGATTTGAAATGTTTTTTTAATGTACTGTTAAATTAATTGAAAAAAAAACACACACACACTTTTTATATTTTTCAAATATTTTACGACGGAACGATCATATAAATTGAAAAGAAAATATATGTTAAGAGACGAAATAGATCCAAAGAAGAAAAAAATATAGAATTAAAAGGTAGAACGAAAATTTGAACGTGGGCGATCAAGCAAAAAAAAATTAAACTAATTGATTCGAAGGTACAGAAAGAAAAAAAAAAAAAGAAAGAAAAGGGAAGAAAGAAACTACTTTATATTCCTGAAACATCTTTTCTGATCTTCCCGCATTTTTATCGCATTTGCCGCCGGAATATAAGAATATGTTTTATTTATATTTCATATTTTCCTCTCTCTCTCTCTCTCTCTCTCTCTCTCTCTCTCTTTTCTCTCCTTTTTATCTTTTTCTCTTCTTCTTCTTCTTCTTCTTCTTTTTCTTTTGCTTATGGTGACCACAAAAAACACACATTCGTCCTACGAATTTGTTAAGGGTGACCACAAAATATGGACTAAAGACCGGAAATCTTTCCCTCCAACTTCTTTTCAACCCTCTATCATTGTACAATTTTCTCTTTCCACCCTTAGAATAGGGTAAGCTTGTCCACCCAATAAGGAAATACTTTATCATTTACATTTTCGTTTTAAGTAAAAAAAAAAAAAAAGAAAAAAATTAGTGCAAATACTTTCTAAACGTATTCTAAAGTAAGATTTTCTTTTGAAAAACATTAACAAAAGTACGATGTATGATGAAGTATGTAAGATGAAGAAGAAAATAAAAAGGAATAGCACGTTGTGACGAGGGTTGTGTGAAACGGTTTACTCGGACCGAATTTAATCTCGCATTCTACGAACGTTGAAGAGGGGTTGTTACACACAATTTGCCACATTTTCTAGTAATGACTCCGATCCACCCCTCCGTATGTTTTATGGAGATCGTTTTGGATATGCATAACTTACGGTCCAGTGGTCAAACTTATGAATTATATGATCGTCTTTAAGATTTCCTACATGATACTAGAAATAAAACATTTTACGAGATCAGGAAACAATGTAACATTGAAAAAAATGAAACTAAGAAGACAAAAGAAAAAAGAAAACAAGAAAAAGATGAACAAATGATCAACTATTATAACAATAAAATTGAAATAAAAGAAAAACATCTCTCAAAGTTGGTTCCGTTCGCACTGGAGACATTATCGTTAAGATAGTTATCATAATCGTGTGAAAGTCCAGGAACGTAGGAAATTGCGTTTAAACTGAAACGTGAGTAGAAATTGGAATACTAACTTGAAGAATAATTTCATTACAAGTACGTGACCCACCACGGGGCCTGTTCACCCTATATCTACGGCACTGTTTTTTCTTCTTTATAATTTACGTCATAGACACAAAATATAAACAAAAATAATAATAACAATATTAACAATTTGTTTTGATATTTACTTACTTGGAACGCAAAAAAAGAATCCGTGGGAAGTTGAGAATAATTTGATAAGGATTCATGCATTCGTGTTGAGAGATGTTCCCGAAGACGCGCACGGCTAATATAACATTCCTTATTCAAGACACACGCACGCGATATGGGTTTTAAATTCTCTTACTCCTTTGATGTGACTACCGGCTCCACCAAACTCCAAGAGCATGAATCCGAATTTGTCTTATTTTCTTTATTTTATAATCCTTCCATAGCGTTAAGAAACATAAATCCCCGAAATAAAGCGGAAATTTTTCGAAAGATCCACGATCTTCTTGGTAACTTTGGTAGATAATACAAAATGTACATTCTTATTTAATGCATTCTTATTTAACAATGCACTCCCACCAAAACCCCAATGATCACAAAAATACTTGACATTCGTTATGGTGTTAACAAAATTCACATGTAACTATTTTAATATAAGATATGTACACACAAAACTAGATATGTTACTATATAATATTTCTAGCCAAATAACTTACGACCAATAGGAAGCTTGCTAAATAACACGTGATCATTCAATTTAAATAACATAAACGATATTCACATGTTTTTCTTTAACATTTTCATTGTTTCGACTACTTTCATGTCGTTTCGTTTGTGCAACGCTATTATTCAATAATTGAAAATCTTATAAACATAATTTAAACAATAATAATTACAATAATAATCGATTTGTCAAAGTAATGTGTCATTTTAGACACATAGTGTGTGTTTGTTTACAAGAAAAACGTGTCTGCTGATTTGAGAACGTGGCGTGGCGCGATAAGACCAGCTTATAATAAGTTTTCTATTTTAATTATATATTTGATCTTTATTTAATATATCACGTTCTAGATTATTTATATCAATTATAGATTATATATATATAAGTGCTGATGACAGATAGAAAGTGAAGAATAAAAGAAAGTGTTACATACCATCTATTTGTATATTAATTAGAGGTTAGTTTTGAAATTCTTAATATTAAACTGTATGTACATAAATGTTATCTGTAGATATATTGTTACAGCATGGATTCATCAATATTTCAAATAGATAATAAAAGTATTTCTATAAATTTTTGCAAAAATTCCATCACCAATGACACCAAAGACACCGATAACATTTCTTCGCAAATCAAAGTAACATATACTCAGCGGTGTGTCTCACCAGAGCATGTTATCGAAAATGATTTAAACAAAAGTACTAAAGAGAAAGACATTCCAAAAAAGATAATAGATATTACTTTGGAAGATTCATCGATAGAAGAAATCAAACCTGATACAAGCAGCGATACCGAAGAGTGTGATTTTACTCAGCGCTCTATAGTGAAGGAACATCTAAAAAAAACTAAAACATACAAGCCTTCTAAAAAAGTCTGCGAAAAACATGTTGAATATATTATAGAAGTAAGTAAAAGTAGAGCTAAATCTCCAATTTGTAATGCTACGACATCGAAGAAGCCCAAAATATATAAAGCTAATCCACAGCGGAAACTCATAAAGGGTAAAGATAGGTAAATAGAAATACTCACACCGATAACAGTTACTTCATCAAATTCCAATCTACCATGAAAATATTGTTACAGAATGGATTCATATAAATTCCAAACTAAAAAAGGTATTGAATTTATAAACTTATGCGAAGACTCTCCTACCAAAGATTTGACTTTGCGGTGCGAAGAAACATATGATCATAGTTCATATCGAAACCAAATTAGTAAAGCTGATTTGACAAAATCCACTTCGACAACATCTATTTCATCAGCATCCACTCTACCTGCTGCTTGGAAAAATAACAAAGATCAATGTGTATCAATAAATGAAATGAACAATGAGTATCTCATCAACGGTGTTAAAGTGACATTTCCAATGGTACCGTATGATGCTCAGAAATCTGTTATGAGAATAGTAAGTTTATTCTTAATACTGTTATTTCTTCAATTTATAAAATAACAATTTAATTAATATAATTATTATTTTTGTCTCAGGTCATTAAAAATTGCACGAACTCAACTAACTGTTTGATCGAAAGTCCTACCGGTAGCGGAAAGACCTTAGCTCTACTTTGCAGCGTATTGGCTTGGCAAACTAAATTTGTTGGTGAGTGAACATTCTAAGCACTAATATTTTTAACAAAACATTAAACTAATTATTCCTACTCTTAATTATTTAAAATAGAAATTTTTTTTTAATATTTGATAAAATTTTACAAATTTCGTTAACGTTTACTTGTCAAATTTCTATACATTATTTACTATTTATAATAAATTAATTAACATAATATATATACACCATACAATAATTTATTAATTAATTTAATAATAATTTGTTAATGAATTTATTAACATAATTATAAAATATACCATAAAAAATCAAATAACACTATAATTTGTTTTACATTTGAATTAGAAAATATAAGAGTATAATTAAAAACATGTAGATTTATAATTGTCTTGTCAATTAATAAGCTCCTTCGTTCTTGAGCAAAGAAAAATTGTCCAATTAGGTAGATATTTTCCTTTTCTTTCTCTCTCTCTCTCTCTCTTGCATATTAACTTGAATTATTAAACCAGTTGTTTTTGCCATTAATGGTGACCCTTATGTAGCAACTCTTGGTAATTTCGAGTTTGCCTACATCGTGCATGCATGCAACTAATTGTTGTCTGATTTCGCGCAATTTCTAAATAATTATAGTAGACTTCATTTAAAAATATGCGTCATGGTACCAGTTCGTGAACATCACCAAAGTATACTATACCTTATTGAATCTTTCTCATTCAATTATTTACTAGTATTTGTTAATCGATATAAAATAATAATATTTTGTTTAATAACTTCTCTTTTTATTATTATTATTATTATTATTATTATTTCATATAAATATATATTCTATAAATTTATTATGTGTCTGTATTGTTTATATGTATCCCAAGTGGCTTATTTTAAGTGATATGATTAAAAAAACATAGAATTTGTTTTATCATTTATTTATATTAGATAATATTAAAAAAGTTTACACGAAGAAACATATATATATATATATATATATATATATATATATTGTACAAATGTAGAATATTTGTAATAGTATAGAATAGATGAAAATGATGTAAACGATACGTGATCGAACCAACGAAATCGCTATGGTGCAATAATGGTTCGAAATTTAATCTGTCGAACACGCAGCGTTCACGACGAGGAGGAGTCTGGAGCATTGCAAACATTCGGGAGGCAAACGATCGCGTGCCATTTCGAGGCTCACATCAAATTAAACGCTCCCCGACGTTAACGTCAAATTTGCGTGTTTTACTCTCTCTTCTTCCTATTTGCAATGGCTTTTTTTTTCTTTCCTTTTTTTTATATATATATAATATAGATATATATATAAAATCGCAGTCATTCAGTGAATTTCTCCTATCAAACAATTATTTTTATTTATTAAATTGTTTAAATATTTTTTTCATACTAAATATATATATCAAATTAGTCAATAATTTTGGAATAATAATGAAATTGTCTTTAAAAAAAAATATATTAGGTGATATATTAAGGAACGAAAAATATGATGTTTACAAAATGATAAATATTAAGGAAATATTACAAGGATTGTTATATCTTATGATAAGATAAGATAAGATTAAAATATTAGGAAACATAAGAATGTAAAGTAAATATCGAAGGAAAAAAGAATAATAAACGGTAATATAAGTATTATAGTAAATTAGAGAAATATGTTAGGTACTGACTGGTACCTCCCAAAACTTAAATACAATTTATTTTCATTTCCTGAAAGTTGACACTGAAATATATACACTTATTTTTGCGGTGAATGATACAATTTTGATAATTAGATAAATGAGAGTGGAAATAGGGAAATAAGGAGGAAAGAGAGCCACCCTCGTTCGTGGTACGACCGATTGTAGGCACAGGTACTTAGGTATAACTGTGTCACCATAGCTCGAGGCCGCGTTATCCTTCTCCTTTTCTCTTTTTTTTTCCTTCTTTTTATTTTTTTTTTTTACCAGCTTATAATTTCTTTTATGCTTTAAAACCCGGCCACCGTCACGCTCTGTCTGAGGTCGAGTGGTACTGCTAGCCGCGAAATTGTAAACTTAGGCAAACGGGGAGACGACGACGACGATGACGACGTCGACGACTACGACGACGACGACGACGACGACGACGACGTTTGAGAGGTCGCATAAATTAGGTGCTCGAGGAAGAATGGAAAATCTTTCTTTCCCATCCGCGAGACTCTGGTAGTTTAATCGATAAGATTCTCGCTCGACGAGTAGGGGTGTCGCGAGATTTATCGCTTACTTTCCTCCTCTTCCTCTTTCTACCTACCATCACCCTACCCCCTTTCTGTAAAAAGAGGCCACGAGTCCTTACTCTCCTTTTTTCCTACTCAAATTAATTCGAATCCAATTAGTTCCCTTTCCTTCTTGAATAATAATCCTACCGTTTGACATTTTATGTAATACGATAAGAGAAAAAGAGAGAGAGAGAGAAAGAGTGTATAACTTATTTGTAGATTCCTGTTTTATCAGCTCTTGTGATAGAAAATTTTTGTAATTTTTTTCATTCAAAGAAAAAAAAACAAAAACAAGAAAAAGAGTTGAAATTTTTCTCTCTAGGTATCTTTTGATATAATTTTGTTATAAACACTTTTCAACAAGAAAAAAGACAAGAAAATTATTGATTCTCATTAGTACTAGATTTTCATGTGTAGTAATTGTGTTTTAAAAATAAAAAAAAAAGAAATAAAAAAAAATCAAGAAATATAATTCGCGTGTATAAATTCGATAACAAATGAGAGACATTGTTAAAATGCTCGTGACGAATTTAGCTGATGGTAGTTGGCTAGCTAACAATAGTAAGGGAAACGACGACATCGAGAGGGTAAGAGGAATAAATTTGGAAAGTTTATCGCAGGATCGCATGCTCGCTAATGTCACTTTATTATTACTGGTGAACATCGTTGTCGTCGTCGTCGTCGTCGTCGTCGTCGTCGTCGTCGTCGTCGTCGTCGTCGTCGTCGTTGTTGCCTCGTCCTCTTCGTCGTCGTCGTCTTTGTCGAGTTAAGACGTCGGGAAGGACGAAGAGAAAGAGAAGAAAGGCCGTTTTACCTGGTGCCGTTCTCGCGAGGGAGGAGAACTTCGAAATATAACCGGTAGCAAAAAGTAGGTGGAGGGAATGAAGAGAGGAGGAGAAGAGGGGGAGGGGAAGGGGAGGAGTGCCCATTGTACGACCAAGGGAACTTGGAAAGTCATAATAATTATCGGTGAACGTGGAATTATACATTGTCTCTTATAGTCTTCGGAGTCTTCGCCATTTTGTAGCTTCGGCATGCAATCTCCTTTCTCCGTTTATCTTTTTAACATTTCTACGAATATATTATTATTTATCAATTATTCATTATTTCTCTCATTAGTTTGTTTTTCGTGTAATGCGCGTATATATTTTTATTGTTATTTAAAAATTGTTTTTTTTTTCTTTTTTCATTAGAAAATAGAAAATATTCCAAACACTTGACCATATTTTTTTTTGTTAATTCACCTAAAAGAAGAAACACATTTTCTATCGGTATTCCATACTCTATATAATATCGGATCGATTTATAAATTATTGGGAGCCCCCCTACCATCCCCCCCCCCCCATTAACCATCGTCTCCCACATAATCAATTATTCGCTGGGCGTCGCTTGTTCGGCAATTTTCCTAGCTGCGGTTTATCGTCGCGAAACTTCATAAACGAGCATGTTCAACTATTATACATGAGCACACACACACGTGCGCACGTATGCAAGAGCATATCCCAATCTTTACTTTATTTCTCTCTTCATGTTAATTTAACGCTATTATCGGATGATATAATATCTCTCATGATAGAGAGAGAGAAAGAGAGAGAGAAAGAGAGAGTGAGGGATGAAAGAGAAACAAAATAAAAACGAAGTAAGGAGAAAGAGAGAAAGAAAGAAAAAAACTGAACAGAAAGAAAGAGGGAGAGAGTCTCTCTTATTGTAAAGAAAAGCTTATGTGCGTATATAGGTGGAAGACGTGAGATCCGTTGGACCCGCATACGGACCTTATTGTGTCGCAAAAGAGCGTATACGGTAGGTACCTTAATGTCGGCATGGATGAAAGCGTGGGCCCTCCTTTGTCTTTTCCTTCGCGAAGCTGCCACAGCAAGTAACCGTGCTCTGCGGGTAGCCCTGCACCATTCCAGGGCTACTGTTCTTCGATCTCTCTCTCTCTCTCTCTCTCTCTCTCTTTCCTCTCTATTTATTTCTCTTTCTTTTGGATAGTTTCGCGAATCTTTCGTTCGAATTCCGTTAGAGGAACATTTAGCTGATTGTGAGAAAAGAATTTCGTGGAATGCTAATGCGCCTGATTGATTTATTTTCATTCATTATTATAACGCATGTTTGTTTAGTAATTGTAATTATAACAAAACAAAACAAAAAAAAATACTTAAAACTGATACTAACTGGTTTAAATGCAATATTCATTCATAATCGATAAATTGTAATTTAAATTGGGTTAGAATTCAAATGTAGATAATATGTATTATAGAATGATATTAATCAAAAATTAATGTAAATGTTTAAATAGAGAAATAAAGAGGGGTGGGGAGGAGAGAGGGAGGAAGGGGGGAGAGATAAAGATAGTGGGAATGGGCCCAGGTTAAGAAAGGAAAGATAAGAGACCCCCCTAAAGTCACGCTGGGCGCCGCAGCTTCCCAACCAGCACTTCTGAACTTCTCTCTCGGGTGGTCCAGAACGTTCTCCAGCTCCTTCGTGATCCTTCTTTTATACGGACCCCTCTTCTCCTTCTTCCTTCTCCTTCTTCTCTTTTCTCTCCTCTTCTTTTCTCTATCTCTTTTCTACCGAAGGAAGATCCTTTGATCGAGCAGTAACCAACCACCGGTGGAACTTCCTTTCCGCGAACGCATTTTCTAAGTTCCTTTCTTATCTTACTTCTATACGCGTCGATGCATCTCATGGGGGATTACTTACGATACCGTTCTTATGGTCAAACTTTTACAATATATTTACGATTTTATATAATATAGTATATATTTTATAACATTTACAATTA